CCCACTGGGACCATCACTGAATAACCTCAACCTTTCTGAAAAGTTTTTCCTTCCTCTGCTTTCCAACTTTTATTTAGCTGAACTTGTTTGATGAAGCTTTTCTCATGGTTGCCTAGAAAGGACTTTAATCAAAGGTGTTGTGAACGTCTCTGTCAGGCTATGCAATGCCTTTTTACTCCATTTTAACTCACTCAGAAGAATTCCAATATATTTTAGAGCACACATTTGCTATTCTAAAAGCCTTCTTGGCTTCTTCCTGTCATATTATACTCATCTAGCTGTTCTATAAATATTTATAATATCATTATGCTTTTTTTTTTTATTGATTTCCCCTTGTCACATGTCAGTCTCCAGGCTGTATGTCTGTCACAAAGCATATGCAAAAGGCATATATATTTTTAAAGACAACCTTTTCTCCGTTAGCCAATAAAATAATATATGCCCCTCCTTTGGTTCCTTTCCTCTAGTGTTAAAATATTATCACTAGAAGTTATTCTGTAGACTGTGAGGTTCCTGGCTATTGAATTTTCCAAGGGGGCAAAAAGCTGTCATTGCTTCAAACAAGAGGGCCTTTTGGAAAGATCACTGCTATTCCCAGCCTTTGTGAAATGATGTAAGCAGTAACACGCAATGGGGGGATACACTGTGCTAAGATATGGGCATGCTTCGAGGTCCTAACAAAGTATGACTCCAAAGTCAGAGCTTCAACCACAGAAAGGAGCTTCCACTTAGCGATTCATGTTTTGGTTTGTTGTTTAGTATTTGTATTTTACTACTTGCCTGAAGAGGAGCCATTCCTTTCCTTTCCAAAGGTCTATCAAGCATCTTCCACAAAGAGACAGGTTTAGTACAGAGGAAGAAGGAAGAAAGAGGCAGGTAGTATGGGGGCAGAGGGATTTTACCCTTAATAAAGTATTTCATTATTTAATCTAGAAAGTTGAAAGTTGGAAGATGGTTATAAATTTTGAGAAAATTTCTGTACTTGTAGAAATACAACTAGATGTCCAAGATGCTAACCAAGATCCCTTGAAAGGATAATGCAGAGGTTTGGGTTACACATATTCCTGATCACATAGGTGGGAGTCCAATATATATTGAGCTTTTGAGAGAGAAAAACTCTGAATCATCCCACTGAAAATTTCCTCCTGCTCATGCTGCTGCTTTCACATCAGTCTGCTTTCCAGGATTTTTAAAAAAAAAAAGAAACTAAAAAATCTGCCCTACCGATTCATTTTTTAAATGAACAGTCACTGCCTACTTAAATGTCAGAGTATGTGGGAAGGGACAAGGCATTTTTTCACAATTCTGAAACAGTGACACTGATAAAAGACAGCGGAGCAACAGGCTGAGGCTACTCTTCACATGGCAGTTGAAGTTTCTTCTGCTGCAGAAGAATTAGCATTGAAATTGTGATTCTAAGAATGCCACAGAAGTTATATTTAGTGGGAGCCTATAAACCCTGAAGAAAGCAGTTCATGAAACCAGCAAACGCAACAAAATACTTTTAATGCAGAACTACAATGAACATAGATAAGGCTATTCCTACAGATCACCAAAGCAAAATTACTGAAGCAACTTGCTATGTGGTCAGTTTGGGGTTTGGTTTTGGTGTTGGTTTTGTGTTTGTTTGTGTTTTTTTTTTTAATGAATACATTAAACTCTCCTATTTACAATCTACCAAAAAATCAGAAAATATCAGATTTTACTTTAAAAATTTTCTGTTCGCTTTGAGGACAGAAAAACTTGGCTTCTGTGTAGTGCTAAGCATTACCAAGTCAAACAAAAGCTGGAATGGGAACTTCTGCTATTGGTGAAGCAGATGTCACTAACACGGGATCATTAACAAATGAGCTTATAAAGCTATGAATTATGATATCAAGAAAAATAAATAATTCATTGTAATGAATTGGAGTAGACAATTTTAACAAACACTTAAGGAAAAAAGGTTTTAATACAGCTATTTCTTAAATTGGGAACACAGCTATTTAAAGACTACTACCCTGTTAAAGTAGCTCACATTCTTGCTTAAATAAAGGCTCATATAGAAAACCGCCATTGATTACACCTGAAGTATTCTCGTTTTACATCAGTGAAACAGAAAGGCCCCTAAAATAGTATCTTTTGCTGCCTCCAATGGCAGAAAATTATCGTAGCATTGAATACACAGAAAAGTATTCTAACTGCTTGCTAAAACCTCAAAAAGCTTCTTGGTAAAACTTTCATTTTGTTGTATTAGTTGTAGCACCACAATTAGCTTTTTCTTTGACATTCATCAGCATTTTAGTGCAGTCCTAATGGGCTCTTTGTTCCACCTTACACCTGAAAAAAAAATATCCAAAACAATGAATCAGAGTTTCCACTAAACAAGTGACAATGTATTGCCTTTTCTTTTTTTTAAACTTTGTCTTTATGAAAAGCAAATAGACACCCAGCACATACTCAGATACTACCTAAACAGAGAGAACATGGGATTTTAAAACTAAAATAAATGAGTTTGGGGGATCAGCACCAAATCTGCATCATTTTCTGCCAGGTTAAAACTTGTACCCAAGTTTTAAGTCCAAAACCAACGTTCTTGGAAGAACTACTTGCCAGCTTATTGAAATGGACCATTTCATTCAGGGCTTATTTTAAGAGCTACCATCCACTTCCCAAAAATACTCAACTGGAACAGCCTCCACATCATAACTGAAGTAAGTTAATGTTTAATTAGACAAAAACTAAGGAGAATGAGTCCAGACTATGGAGCATGCCCTGTTTCCTGAAAGGGTTTCTTGATTGTATTTCTTTCTTTGTTCTTCGTTTTTTAGACATTGAAACACCACAACCTGTAATTTCCTACCCCACATGCAGGTGCAGTTCCTAATAGGCAATTTACTTACTGATTTAGCAGTTATTCTTGAAAGCTGACTTCTGCCTCACAAGACAAGATTCTGGTTTTATCAATGAAGATCTTTGGCAACTCCCTGACTATGAGCGCTACCTATGTCTACATTAGCAAGTAGCATGGCACAATCAAAACAGTTCTATAGGGCAAAAACATTGATGCTGAAGGTATGTTACTCACACTATACTTGTTTTGGGAATAAAGGGAGGGAGAAAGGCTACTTCAAGTTAGGTCTAGTCTGGTCCTGTAGACTAAATACACATTAGCAGTAGAAGAGCATCATGTGCACTCATGCAACACATTTGTAGCCTCATCCAAAAGGAATTTAGCTTACACATTCCAAAACCACTCTTCAATGTAGAGCAAAGCACAGTAAATAGGCAGGATCCAGAGACTTGCTTCAAAAGCATGGTTATGATCAAAAATAAAATGCTAACATAAATATACTAATAGTCACGTCTTTTGGCTTACCACATTTTTTTTTAAACATTGTCTTCATCAAACTAAGATGAATAATGCCACAAGATTAGCTTAATTTAAATGAGCAGCAGATTTTTGTAATCTTATACTCATAAAAATTTGGCTCTAACTTTTGATTGTTATACTTGAGGCAACCGACACTTGTACCTGTTGTGTAGCGAAAGTTGGGGCGAGGGTTAACCCAAAACTTGAGTTTACCTGCACTATAAATTCCTGGAAAAGCACTTAACATTGAATCCTAAGATACTACTTTTTAAGGTTACCTTTCAGAACAAAACCTCACTTGGTACTGAACAAAGAGTGCACCTTCTACAAAAATGCTCCTCATTCTGCTGTTCTCTTTCTTGAACTAAGTTTTCCCCCAGCAGCACTTCCCTTCACCAGGAAACCCAGTGTCATACCAGGGAATCTAAAAAAACATCATTTCAAACTTATGCAGCCCAAATCAACGTTCTGAAATGTAAATGCTTCACGTTTAAAAAGTTTCATAACTCCTGCAGAACTGCTACTTTGAAAATGGAAAAAATTCTTTCAAGTCAGTCAGTAAAATCCACTCCCTATGTCTGTGCTCTGGCTAACAAGGTAGTTGTCAGCTTTAATTCAGAGAAACAGTTAAGCTTGGACTATTGTATTAATTATAGCCACTACTTACAAAACATTGTGTAGTTGCATTTTACCACACTGAATCCCAAGCCTCCAAACAAGCCATTTAATTTTCCTCGTAAGAGTGACAACTCCAATAATAAACCAGCACAAATTATGCAAGAGGATCGCAGACCTTACATGTTCTCAAACTTATTGAATGAATAAATCAAATATGCATACCCAGCTGCTTTTCGTGAAAATACAGTGTTATCCCTGTCAATGCATTTTAGTGTTAATTTTTTCATGTAAATTCTATTGATTTTTAAATATTTTACAGCTCTTAATTCTCCAGGCAAATTCCAGCAAGAGGACTAGGAAGGAAAGGAGATTTGTGCAAACAGTCTTACTGAAAAGCTACGATGTGGTACTCTCTGGAGAGCCCTCTACAAGAATTTATGTGGATGAATTCAAAACAACCAATTTTTCACAATAAGTCACAAACACAGCCATGCACATGGGATAACACACCTACGTTATTGACCCCTGCTACTCCTTGCAATGAAAACTTGTCAGTTAATTCTGGTGCTCCATTGGAGATTGTGAGGACTGCATTTTTCATCTCAGTATGCAATGGTACACTTCTTTTCATACAAATTCCTATAGTCCCTAGCTGCATTTCTGAGTGCTTAGGACTTCTGCTCTTAATGTTTCCAACACCTGAGTCTGGTCAAGCAGAATAAGATCACACTGTTCCCTGTAGTGAATCTTCAGTTTTAGATAACTTGTCCAGCATCACAAAGAAACTTCAAGGCAGGATTCAACTCCCCAGGGCAACATTCAACTGAACTGAATCATGAGAACTGTCTATTGAAATATAAATCATAACAATCACACTTCTTACTATTTATATGCATGGAAATAATGGTTGTGTCCCATTACCAACTCTCATTTGAAAATAAATACTCTGATGAGTAACCAGTCACTTCAGGGAGGCAGCAACATGCATAAACCCTAACAGGCTCTTGGAGAGACACATTGACATACGCACCATTTGCTACTGCAAGGCCTTTGGCTTGGTTTACCTCAAACACTTGCTGCTTGTCTCCAGAAGTGTTGCTGAACCGTCCTCCCATCATCCTGCACTTTTTGCAAATAGGACTTTCCTTTCAACCCGAGCACAACAAAGTTCAGAATGAGCTGGAAGCAACAGGGGCTTTTTTAGCTGAGATTGTTATCACCTTACCTATACTCTTCCAGTTTTCAGGACTACTGGTTGGACTCAAATTGCCTAGCAATCCGAAAAAGAAAGAGATATAGGCACAGACAAGTAAGGGTCTAGGAGATTAGTCAGATATATTTCATCCTGTGGCCTAGAAAAAATAGCCAGCTGAGGCTGAAGAGATGAATAGGGAGTAAAATAGCAGGAGGAGGGACAATTTTCCGCAGAATGGGAAGTCTAGTCCCCAAGGTTGCAGAATCTGACATGACCTTTCATATTTCAGATAAACTTTAAAAGTGCATGAATCTCGCTGCAACTACCTTCTAAAAAAACCAAACAAACCTGAATGTTTTACTTTGTTATTCACAGGCAAGTCATCTCCCGAGGCAGTACCCATTTTACACCTTTTAAGTTTGATATGAATTGGAAGCTCTTAAAAGACAAGAATTAGACATACAGGCTTGCTATAAAAATATTGATAGTGTCATGGTAAATTTGACTCTCCTGTTTAAAATTTCTAGGCACAAAGCACTAGGATTGGAGCTTAAATCTACATCAAAGCAAAAATGAAAGCAGATGCAGAGAGAATCTATGAAATTTCCATTTTATCTTCAGGCTGAAAAAAAACAGAAATTACTATAAAACATTAGTTTCTAGTTTTAACCTTTTCTCCTCAAAAATATATTAAAATATTTTCACTTTAGAGAAACTTTAGGAAACACCGACTGACCTCTTCAGTGCCCCCAAAACTACTATTACTATTCAAGTTCTAATCTTAAAAGAAAACCCAAGACAGTTGCTTATTTTATAGCTGATTAATAGCCAGCTCTAATATAATGTCCTCCTTGCATTTAAAAACACAGCACCACATTGTCTGAATACACCATGCTAACAATACTTGTTATCTGGGATGTCTCTATTTCTAGGGATACCACTAGGCATACAAACTCCCCAGCTAACTTGAGAACTTCAGCCGTTATGATCAGCTCAATCTACATATTGTAAGAGTAAGGTGACTTCAAGGAATCACAGGGCAGATGATGTTATTCAGTAGTCTCTTTGGTCAAACGGGTATAAAGCATAATACCCTCAGCAAACATTCAGCTCTGCAAACAGTAAAATGGCATCTTATTTCACCTACCTATGGTGAACAGATATCTTTGGGTATTTTCTATAGGATTAACAAAAGTTAATAGATATCTAATGATCTCCATACCACAGTACTGACCAACGAGTAAGATCCACATGAACACCTAAGTGCCTGACTGCTCAGCACTCAAAATCCCTCCTCTGCTACCACCAAGCACTCCACTGACACTTCAGTTACTGGCATCAACATTTCCTATGCACATAAAATTCTGATCTCTATCTGCACTGAGATGCACCTGAAGTTTAAGAGGCTGACACAACCTGATGCCTCCTTTGATCTCAAAACACCACTGCTGTCCACCAACCAGACATTTCTTTACTGATCTCATTTGAAGGGCACGTTTGAAGTAGCTGTTCTCAGAGCATACCTAATAGATCTGGCTTCACAGCATCACCCATCTCCTTTTTAAAAACTGGGAAGGCACTATACCTTTTATCAGCATAGATTAATAGCTGGAGCGCTCCCTCAGGAGGCTGATGACCCACATTCAGGTTCCTTCTCTGTCAGAGGGAATTCACATCCAAATCCTGCTTCAGTCAAGACAGCGCTCTCCTCCCCAGACATGACATTACTCTCAGGGAAGCAGAACCTTCCCTCTCCACTCCAAAAGTTAAATAAATTAATTGAATTATTTTCATAAAACAGTTAAATAGAAGGAACACAGGGAAGTCCATTTCTCCAGTCCACTGACCTGGATATAGTTCTCCCCTGTTTACTTATCCAGACCTCTCTTTGACACCTTGAATAAACCCTCCAATTACTTCACCATGGTATTACAAGAGCATTATACCCAGTTTTGCCTCCTTCCTAATGTGTGATGTGCTTTCAGAACATAATGTCTGGTTTTGCAGGGTATTTTTGAGGTGAGAAGAGTAGTTGTCTTGCTATCTTCAGAAGATTCGGCACTTGGCATCACAAAAGGAGGAAATAACTTTCTGCGGCACAGCATAAGATGTCTAAATCCAACAGAGGAGGATTTTAGATGCTTTGTTCTTCCCGCTGCTCATGCTATTCCCACTGACAAGCTCAGCCTGATTCCTTCTTAGTACACTTATTCTGATGGATTGTACTCTTCCTATACACCAAATTCTCCCTCTGCCTTGAATACGCAGTCTAACTACTATGCTCAAGATGAGTACACCATGGCTAAAAGTCATATATGTATTTGTTGAGTAGCTCAAGGGCTAAACTCCAGTATAATGTTGAGAGTGCAGACAGTAACATCCAATTTTCAGACATGGGAAAACAGGCATTATGTGACTGCAGGAAGATCAGACTCCTATTCAACAAATGAGCAAACACTAAAAAAAACAGAAGTTCCTTTCTGCTTCTCAGCCTGATCTTATAACAAACATTACAAATCACAGATGGCTTCTGGCCAAATTCTAGTATGGAAAACTTTTAAAAATTCTGTTTCCCCATTTTGCTTCACCCATCCCAATGAAATACAGTATCTCTTACTGTTCTAAACCCTTGCGTACTAATTAAGCACTTATTTAACTGCACATAGCATTCAACTAGGCCACCATGGGCGAGACTGATGAGAAAACTCCCGTTAACTTCCAGGATTTCACTTCATATGCTTTGATGAAAATCCATGCCGAGACAAGTAGGTTCTGTATCAACTCCAGCCTCTTTGGGCTGGATGCTAGAGAGAACATTTGTGACTATAACCACCTTTTCAGGCTTGCTGTTTTCCCACAGCAGATTCTTGTATACTTTGAAGGGAACCGATCCGATGGAAGGTACAGAGTGCCATCCAGAAAGTTCACAAGGGCAACCAGGGCTTTTACGGTGGTCAGAACAGAGCCCACGTAAGTCGTGGTGATGGTGGTGGGAGGGTGCTCAGGCCCCCAGAATGAGGTTCTGGTAAAGAGTGATAAGCAGGAGAGTGTCTTTCACTATTATCCTGAGAGTCCTTTTAACATATGTAGGAAGGAAAGGCAATGGACTGTAATTTGCCAACAACCTTCACAAACATTTCACTTCTAAATTAACGTCGTTTGTTTTCATGAACTTCATTTTATTATTTCTAGAGTTAATTTTTTTTACCTAATTGTGGCAGCTTAGTTCTGTTGCCTGGTTTAGGACATTCTATAATTTTACATCCACTACTGGTTTCTTCTTTTTAACAAAACATTTTTAAGACCTACTTCTATATATTTTATAAATAGATAAATCTACATCTGGAGAAAACAAGCTAAAATAAACAAAAATAAAGCTAAAAAACCCAAAGGCAATGAAAATTGCATTATATTATCAGCCACGTAAGGAATTTTTATGTAACCTGGATGAGGTTCCTCTTCAGATTTTATTCTGCAATATGTCATTGTGTTGCATCTAGCAGAAAAAAAAAAGAACTAAAATCAATGTTCTGTGGACTGAATAGCTCTGATAAGCTATTCAATGGGCTTACTAAAATCAAGAACTGGCCAACATTTGAGTTTTGGAATAAAACTACTGGGTGATAAAGAAACAAATGTAGAACACTGCCAGAATATCGATGCTTCTTCCAGAGGTATAAAAAAATTACTTAATGTTGAAAACTTTGAATGAGAGCTCTTCATCCTTCATCTAATTTTTAAACAGGATTGAAAAAGCCCTTTGCAAGTAAATGGTCTGACAGTGCTATTGGTAGAACAGGATACCATATCCAGCAAATACATGTTTACAAAAAAGTAGGTCCCCCCCACAGCACACCTCTAAGTAGACTGCTTACATAAGGAGTCCCACCAAATCTTGATGACAACCTGTTCCCATAAGATACTTGTCACACAAATAAGGTTTGGTAGGTTTAGTCACTACACAAAGTCTCTAATAACTGCTTTCATTATAAGCCACTTGTGCTTGTTTATAGTCCCTTGTTTTGACATGCTGGAGATCATGTATGATTAAAAGTAAACTGTTACTTTCCTCCTTCCTCCACAATACAGTAAAGCTTGTAAACAAAGACAAGCTCTGGGACCATTAAGAGGGGCCCTTGTTTGCAGACTGTCTTTCCAACCAGCTCCTTCAATTTCAATACTAAAACTGTCAAGCTTAATTAAGAGTTATAGGGCATAACCATTTCAAAACCATAAATCCATAGAGCAGAAAAGTAACATGACTGCCTTGGTGAACATCTCTTTTTAAATAAGCAATATCTCTTTCTGAGACCTAATTTAGGTTCCTTATACGCAACTTTGTATTGTAAATATCTTTATTGCTTCTCCTGCGGTGAATATAAAGACCGTCATAAAATAATTTCATCCTGATGTCTTCTGGTTTATTTGAGTATTTAAAGTGGACCTCAAAGCATATTCTACTGCTTACACTGCTATTCCATCCAAATTCACTATAGCTTTTTGTGATCCTTCAGAAATGCTGCAGAGAACTGCGTTTCTCTTCATCTTCTTTTAATATTTTCTTTCTAAAGTTGCTGCACCTTTTGAGTACGCACAGGAGTCCGCATGTCCTCACAGCCTCAAGCAGAATGACATTGATAAAAAAGTATCACAAGCTCACCGTTTAACCACTGCCCTTTAAGGACATATTTAACATTTAGCACTTTAGCACCCAGTCTGAAAGGATCAGAGAAAAAAAAAAAAAAAAAATCCACCAAAACAACACCTTAGTGCACACTTAGATTTAAACCTTTAAGCCATCTTAGCCATTTCAGGGAATTTGCTTCCATTTTAACTCCATCTTCTGCCAAATCAGTGTCCTAGTGGACATGAGACCAATTCACAAAATCCAATGAAGCTTGAAACACTTAGTTTTTCTCAACA